AGAGAGAGAGACTGAATTTCCTCAGAGTCGGATTCTTCAGTGTTTGTTTGTTTGTTTTCTTCTCTGTCGTTCTCATGGATGGATCAACTGAACGAGTCCACCGGGCTCCGGCCCCCGGGGCCCTGGAGGTCAGGAGGAGCCCCTGCCTCCTAATGAAGTTAAATGTTAATATAATAATAATACTGTGACAGAGAGACGCAGAACAGGAGCGGTGGGTGGGGTGGGGAGGGGAGGGGGGGCTGAGTGGTTAGGGTGCGTACGGCGTGGGCGCAGATGCTCGGCTGGCAGGACTTCTTTCCCACACTAGAAACATTTCCTGTTTCTAAATAATAACGCCCAAATAATACCTTAAAAAAACTAGAGTCGCGGTCGTATCCCTCCGCCACAGTTTCAGATCACATCCCTGTTTATCCGGAGTCGTATACAATATGAACCATTTGTGTGAAATTTTGTGAGGTCACACAGACCTTTGATCTTTGACCTTTGATCACGAAAACCCAATCAGGTCATCCTTGAGTCCAAATGAATGTTTGAGCCAAATTAGAAGAAATTCCTTTGAGGATTTCTTGCGATATCGCATCCACCAGAATGTGACAGGCGTACAACCTGAAAACAATATGGCGGCTCTGATTGTCGCCGGCGTGGAGGAATAAAAAAAAACAAACATCTGAATCCTGAATATATTTCAACGAGTACACGAAGTCGTAGTATTAAAGTAGTTTTCTATAGGAAGTACAGGTTCTCATGTGGGCTAATTATCACATGTGCTAACGAGTAGCTCCCTCTGTAAGTTCAGTGAAGCTGATGCATGATTTAATGAACAGGATTAAATGAAGTGATTTAAAGGCACGAGTGACTGACGTGGCAGCTACATCACAAACATGTTCCGCTCTTTGCTGAATACTTTCCCAGTTCCTCTGGACTCCGGGAAACTTTCAGGACTCCGGCCTCTTCACCTCCGCTCTCTTGGTTGTTCTTTTGCTGCTTGTCATTTTTGGCCATTTTAAAGACGAGAGTAGATCTTCAGATGCAAATCACACACTGGGTTTATTTTCTCTGGTATCGGAGAAGGATGCCCCTCGCTGCGTGTTTGTGGATTTGGGTTTGTTTAGGTTCACACTGGACAAATACAAGAGTCTGATGCTGCGCTCGCTCGCTCCTCGGCGTCCACGTCTTTTAAACTTCATCCAACATGTCTGACGTGTTTGTTTGTTTTATTGCTGACTCCGGCTGCACGTTTCTTCCCCCGTCCTTCCAGTAAAATCCTCAGAGCAAACAGGCCACTCAAACTTCAGGGATCGGGGGGGGGGGCGGCAGACACCCAGACGTGCAGCCATAACATGGTGTTTACTGTCTGCTGCGGGTCTCAGGGGGGTTTGTTGGACTTCTGGCCTTGACAACTGGTGTGTGACTGCATGCTGGTCTC